CAACCTTCAGCATTCTGTGATTTTATGTTACTGTTGTTAGTTATTAAATCATGTGAACTTTTTCAGTTCATGTTATCTAGAAGCAAGATTTTTTTTTAAGAGTTGCTGAGGCAGGCATTAGTAGGAACAGCTGTCTTTAAAAGACTGCTTATGTTCTTAAAAAAAAAGACTCAGGTTGGTGTTGATGCAAGTCTTGAATCATTCAAATGTGTGTAGTGCTAATATCTATTTCTTTTTTCATACCCTCTGAGCAGGATATGAAGAAATATGTTATATAAATAGCTTCCAACTCTTATCTTAGCCTTCCTGGTGCTAAGTGTGTTAGAGCTAAAATGCAGACAGTGTCAAATAAGTTTTTGGATTCTAGGTTCCTTATTAGTATCCCTATGAAATGTCTTAGTGCCTTCATTTGAAGACCCTTCCCACCTATCCCCTGTCTGGTAAAAATACAGAGTTCAGAATAAAATTGTTCTCCAGGAAAAGCTCACCAAACACCAAATTTGCTTCTTCAAATCTAAAGCATTCTGCCCTTACTAACAAAGGGAAATTAAGATGTTTCCAGGTTGTGCTATTGTACTACAGCTGCTGAGAAGATTATTATTATTTTTTTATAAGTTCTCGTAATGGGCTCACATGTCTTAATGATAGTGACTGTATGCACTTGTTTTAACCATGCTTTCTTATTTGTTTGGGGCTTTTTTTTTTTTTAATAGTAGGATAACTCTTAACTAGACTTTGCGTAGTCCTGTTTCGCACTTCATGCAAACATTTGGGGCCAAAATGTAAGTGTGGCTGTGGGGGTGTGTGTTGGTGTGTGTGTGTTTTTTTTTTTTGGTCGTTGTTGTTTTTTGGTTGTTTTTTGTTTTTGGGAGGAAAACAAATCTTTATGGTTATTGTGAATCATTTCAAAGAGATTAGGGAATGAAGCAAGAGTTTTATTGCATTCGATTGCAGGTATCCCGAATTCTGCACCACTGCTCTTGCCTGGTCGACATGCCTTGAACGCAGGGTTGCTGGCCGCCAGCGTCGGCGGGATGATTCCCTACATGATCGACCCCAGTTACACCACGGGAATTACTTGTTTGGGTTCTGTATCAGCACTCTCAGCCATAATGGTGAGTTGGGGAAACTATAGGAGGTAAAACAGACTGTACAGTTTGTTCCTCAGCTTTCCAAATCTCCCTTCTCTTAATGATTATCTTACTATCTTGAGTCACATCACAGTGCCTCTCTGTTAACTTTACTGGCAAGTAGCAGCTGACTTTCCTAAATTTAGCTGTAAAACAGAACTGTTCTGAAGAACAGACATGTATTTAGGTAACTACTTTTTGCAGCTATGACTTAATGGAAGCTTTTATACGGTAAAATGAGGTTTAAAAGATCTTTTGGAAAGTTCATCCTTAACCATAAGAGCACTGAATGTACAGATTGTCATGCTAAAATAGTTATCCCTGTGCTTTCCTTCCACGCTTACTCCAGCTGTTGAAACATTTACCTTGAATATTATAGTACTATAAGCTGAGTCTTGCAATTTTTTTTCAGTATGAATAACTTCCTTGTGTGCACAGTTCCACAGAGCTGGTGGGATTTTTGTGAGTAGGATAGTGGAATGCTTTCCTGTCCCCTCTTACCGGGAATCCCAATATCTTGTGCTCAAGACACAGCTTGATCTGTTATGTAGAAAATGCTTAGATTTGCTATTTTACAACTACATTTTTTTTTTAAATACTGCAGGGGGGCCCTCTTCTCTGCGTTTATAGCTTATATTGAACTGTGTATTTTCTTTCCTTTCCCAGGGTGTCACATTAACAGCAGCTATTGGAGGTGCTGACATGCCTGTAGTTATTACTGTCCTGAACAGTTACTCCGGATGGGCTTTGTGTGCTGAGAAAAACTGCTGAACAACAACTTGCTGACCATTGTTGGTGCACTCATTGGTTCCTCTGGGCCATCCTCTCTTACATCATGTGTGTGGTAAGAATTAAATGAAGCTTCTGTTTGTTTTGCCAAACAGTAAAAAGCCTTAGTCAAAATGCTTGTTAAGATAAGCGGTTGGAAGATGAGGCTACCAGGTGCCCAGAGACTAGGAAGTTCTGGGTTGAAATGGTTGGACTAGATGCTTTTTGGCAGTCAGAGCTTTTTGGCTTTGGAGAGATACTTCAAAAGTCAATGAAATTGAAGAAGGCCTTTATGCTGATTTGGTCATTCCTCAGACAGGTCTGATTGTATGTGCACAGCTGAGTGCCACTTTGCAGCGGTGTTAAGTTTAATACTGCTGCTTTAGCAGCAGCAAGTATTTTCAATAGTGAGTTCCTATGAGACCTACAGTGTGTGATTTGATTAGTAATTAAATTTGAACTTTGGTGATGGGATTTTTCTTATTTTCTTTGAGTGTAGTGAAGTGAACTGAACTTTCTTCAGAGAACAGGTTTTTTGAAGTACCACGGGGTGGCAGCAGGCTTGCATTAATGTGTTGTTGCTGTTGATTTTTGTGTCAGGGCAGACTTGAACACTGTGTTGTCATATTTCAGTACTGTTTAATAGGCTGTTTTTCTGGAGCACTTGCAGAGAAGTCTTTCTTGTCTGTGAGTGTTTCCCTTTTATTCTCCAAGATGGAAAAGGTAATGACTTAAAAATTGCTTAACTCCACTGCTGTGTAATTCTATTTTACCTTCTGCTCCTGCATTCTTTTATGATCTGTGTCACTGTCCTATTATTCTAATATTTTCCTATGATCGGTCATGGCTGTTTTCCTTTACTGTCTCTCCTATTAAAAATTAGTATCACTTAGGGAACGTTCTACAAGGTCATTATTGTGTCTCTTGAAAAATTTCAGAAAAACTTAAAGTATTTTGGTACAACTGCACTGTGGATTGTCTGTTTAAACCCACCACTGGGAGAAGTTTGAGTCTTGTTCTTACCTGCGTGTTTTGTATGTCCTTCTCAAACGAAAATTGGATTGTGGTGATGGGATGCTTCTCCATTTCTTTTTTGTCTTTAATTGGCAATTTAGTCCATGTCACTAGAAAGTAAATGGGACAATGTAGATATAAAATGTATTTACTTTAATATATACATCAAATTCTTGAAAGAAACTGGAAAAAGACTTGATTAAAAAGGTAATGTATGCATTTACCAGTAGGCTACTTGCTCTTTAGCCTCAATTTTTCTTTTTTTCATTTTCCTGTTTGGAGGAGCTTATGTAAATTCAAAGGCTAGGCTTGTAATTCACAAAATAGTTATGTTATGTCAGAGATATTGACCTCTGTGTTTCTCAAACTTAAGTTCAGTTTTTGAGTTAAAATTCAGATCTGCTGCTGCTATAGCTCAACTTAGACCATTATAGTCAATCACACAGTGTAGTTAAAATTAATTTGTGTCTCTGCATAGTAAGCAGAATAACTTTATCCCACAGAATTATTCTTTTTTACTCAATTTCCATTAATGGAAGTTATTACTTTTGAAAACCACCGATATAATCGAGGGCTGCAGCATTTTTGTACTTTGTCAGTCTGCATTTCAGGAGAAAAGCTGCTCCAGTGTGCCAATATAAACATTCCTTTTACAATATTTTTTAATGACCTTTTATTGATAAATCTGTATCTTAATAATCCAATACCTATTCAGATAAACTCTTAAAGCTTTTACATGAGTTGACAAAATATTCTACAAAATGGATTTGTATAATCTTTTAATTTTTGCACTCATACCTATTCTCCCTCTTTTATGGCTATTAGTAGGGTGAGTTAAGGGCAAGACTTCAAGATAGAAAGTGATGAAGGCAGAGCAGGAGAAGGGACAAGTTGTGTTACAGTCTTACAGACTGGATGCTCTTCATCACTCGTTATGAGCTGTGCTGTTCACGTGGGTATGGTTTAGTGTGAGAAGCCTTGATGTTCTCAGTGGTTTGGCCTGGAAGCTGCAGGGCAGTGTCACCTGTGTGTGCACTGCAGAAAGGGCTCTTTGCTCCTTGCTGGGTTATCTGTGAATGAAGAAGTTAGGAATTTGTTCATCTGTGTTTCTATTTTATTATTAGTTTAGAAGAGTTGAAAGTTCTTTGCTTCCTGTACTGCTCACTCACTAGCGTGCTTATTTCAGGAGAGTCTTTTTTCTATCCAGACTGTCTTACCTGACATTTAACTTCTGTAATAGTATTGCTGCTAGCTTATATTCTTCTGTGAAGTTTTAATGTGATGCATATCAAAGGCAACATGTTCTTAAAGGATGTGAACTGCTGCAGTCCTTAGGAAGATGGTGATTCCAGAGGGCCTGCATTTGGGCCATGTTGTGATCTTTCCTTACAGGAAATAAAACACCAGGGTAAACAGAAGTTCTCTAACATCTGGTGGTGCTGCTTATTTGCTAGATGCAGAATTTCAGAATGACACATCTCTTCAGGCTATAGCAAAAGCCTTTGGAAATGCATGATAAGACATGTCAATACAAACCAGAAGCACACTTTTTTGTCTATTTTTCTTGCTAGCATGTGAGCAAATCCATATAAATTAATCCAAATAACCTGGCACAGCAGATGGGTGGCACATGTTTAATTAGAGACTTAATTTATTCCTGTTCCTTTTGTGCTTCTAAAGCTTTGCAGACTGCAATTAGAAAACTTGCCTACTTCCAAATATTGCTAGACCTGACTCTAGGACCCCACTCACAAGGAGATGGGTCAGTGAAAGGTTTTAGTCGGTGGGTTTTTCTTAGTTATATCTATTGAGTTCTCAGGATGTGCCCTTCTCCTGAAACACTGTTCCCCAATAAGATATTGACCCTGAGTTCATTAAAACATTGCTTTGATTTAGCATTTGGTTAGTTTTTTGTGGCTGTCGAGCTTTGTTTTCATGTTTTCTGGCTTGATGCTGTAGAAGCTGTTTCTGTTCTACCTGAGAGCTCTGTAGTTTCCATGCTGTCATAGAGCAGTTCTAGGCTTACATGCTGAATTGCTCAGGGAAAGCACCCGTGTCATCAAGTGTCTATGTTCCTCCCTTTCAGATCCAAAAGTCACAAGTATTTGCTGGGGTTGATAGTGTTTTGTGTGTGGGGTTGATTTATTTCTTTTTATTCCTTTCCCTTTCTCTGGGAAGATACCGTTTATCTCTTATTACAAGTGTAACAGATGCTGTTAGGAGTTGATGTTTGGCTACCATCATTTTAATCTAAGTTTCTGTTTTAAGGAGTCCGTTTAAGAAGCTTTGAGTTAAAGCAAGCAAAGCTATCAGACAAAGTAATGCTATTGTCAGGCTTTAGTATTTCTAGAAATTTGCTTTGTGGACGTCTCTCTTGTTCTTGACTTTTCCACACTATTGTTTTTCATCATGGCATGACTCATGTATGACATTCAGAGGAAGTGTCATTTCAACGAAGCTATGATACATTTTGCAATCGTAAGATAGCAGCATAAAAAATGTTGTGCAGCACAAAAGGGGTTGTGGGAGGCCTGTTTTTCTTAGTTCAGTCACCGTTCTTTTGCAGATATGTGTATGTCACCTTATTTTTTTTTCTGTGTCTCTTCACAGGCTTTGTCCTATTTATTTAGACTTTAAATTCTTCAGGACAAAGGTGATTTCTTTGCAGATTATGTGTAGTTAATTTTGTGTACAGCTGTTATGGTGCAAGTTTCTAAGTGCTGCCATAGTGCCAATGTTACGAATAAGAAATTATCTGTCCCTTAAGATACTACAAGAGAAGATTGTTTATTTTGTGCTTCTTGCACAATTTACGTGCCTAACTTTGCGTTGTTATATTGGAAAACCTGCAGCGAAACATCTAAATTCTAATTAGCATCCGATAAATACTGGATTTTATAAAGGGCGAAGTGGGAACAGAGCTTAAACCAATAAACTAAGTTTTCCATAGCTCTTGAGTTCACCATAGGCTTCATATGGTTCAATACCAGCAGTTCCTCTTAAGAGAAGTGAGATGATGAATAGTTTAAGACTTTTTTACTGCAGCTGTGTAGCACAGTTAATGCACTAAATTTTATTTTAGCATTGAAATGGGGGGGAGGGAGCAACCAACATTGCCTTCAACATTGCCATCAACATTGTTGACCATATGATCTCATATGATCTTGAAGTGACCTGATAGCAGCCTCTGTGTCTTTTTTTTATATATATATATATCCAAAATATCTTGTTCTGAGTGTAATGAATTCATGCTTTTGTGAAGCCAGAATAAGTCATTTGTGTAGTTTGACTGGTCAAGCAGCTGTTCTGTTACTGGTTAGGAGACCAAAAAGATTAGATGGATTCCAGTGGTCAAGAAGAAACTCCCATGAGAACATAGGAGTCTTTTTTTTTTTTTTTTTTTTTAATGAAAAACTCTTTTTGCCTGAAAGGGAAATTACTATTCTATCTGCATTGAACCAGGAAAATAGCTTAAAATTTTGATATACTTTTTTCAGGTTATGGTCTGTGTGCAGCAAAAGCTCACTACCCCATAGCAGATCTAGTGAACATGTTGAGAGAACAAGGAAAAAGTGTCAGGTAAGTACTTTTCTTGTTGAGGAGTATTATTGTGTAGCTTTTTTCCTAATTGCATTAAAACCCTCTACAAGTGTGTGTTTTGGGTCTAATTTTTCTTTCAACAGTCATTCTTATGCTGATCTCTCTCTGAGAAATATCAATTGGAGGAATGTTGTAGTCCTACTTACATGTAGTGGAATATCTAGAATTTTCATGCTTTAGCCTAACAGTTATTTCTACCTCTTATTAATTTCAGGGAGTTAAGTTCTATTTATGTGTTTTGCTAGATTAGTTTCTCTTGAGACTGAGAAGGTAGAGAATAATTTTGTTTCCTCTTTTGTTTGGTGTCATGATGAAGTTCACTCTAACAGAATGGCTTTAAGCTTGTTATTTTTTTTATTGTAGCAACAAAATCTTTCTCTATGCTTGTAGTCAGTCAATGGAGAGGGAGGGTGAGGCAGAGCAGGTCTAACTTCAGTACTTTGAATTGCCTTTCAGAGAAACATCCATTAAGGGAAATTGCTTTCTAGGTTAAAGATAGGACATAATTTCCTAAGGGAGTTGACCCCTCTGCTTGTGAAACTGGAACTTGGAGACCAGTTGGAAGGATGTCATGGGAGTAGTCCTGAATCCTAGGTGGGAAGGATGGCCTCCTGCCACATGGAGAAATCATTTGCCAAGGTCAGACCAGTATGACATGGAAAAGTAGATCAAGTAACAGCCTCGGTGCCAAGGATTCACTTCTTTCATGGGATAGCTTACTTGGAATAACTGGGATGAATTACAGCAACAGTGCTTACTCCTCCACAGTAGTGGTAGTTAAAGGTATGGGCAGTAATGTTCAGTTCTACCTGGTATATTGGAAGCAAATACTGAGAAAGTTGAGAATTGCGCTTAATAGCCATCCATCTGCATAGATTAAAAATCCAGTCCACCTTACCTTTGAACTTCTCTTGTCTTCTAACTTCTTCTGTACTATAGGATAGCTGAGGATGGTCCATGTTTACTAATAAGCTTCTTGCAGATGCTCAGAATCATAGAATCATAGAATACTTAGGGTTGGAAGGGACCTCTAGAGATCATCTAGTCCAACCCCCCTGCATATGCAGGGACACCTAAAGCACGTGGCACAGGACTGCATCCAAGCGGGTTTTGAAGATCTCTAGAAGCTTCTAAGTTTGGCATAAGAGTTTTTGCACAGTCTGTTACTTAAAAGTAGATCTCTAGTCTGATACATTCTTCAAAAGTGCTCATAGGTCAATCTGCTTATTTTATGTTCACAGCTGGACTTTAGCTTCTATAGGATAGTCTTCCTGACCTGACTTGACTCTTTCCAAGCATCGGGGCTGTGGTCTTCTCTCACACTTTTAAGCTTTCTGCATTCTTGTTTCTCTGCCTTCTTGTGTGTTCTGAAAGGAGCCACTGAAGTTGGTAAAGTCTAAAGAGGAAAAAAATTGTCATTAATGTTTTCCAAATGTTCATAGGGTCATAGAATGATTAAGGTTGGAAGGTACTTTGGAGATCGTCTGATTCGGCCAACCCCTTGCTCTAAGCAGGATCAGGTCACTTACTGCAAATCTAACTAGACAAGATACTATCTGCAGGATTGGAGACTCCAGAATCTCACAGCAGTGTCCGATAACCATTAAAATAAAACTTTTAATGTTCAGACAATTTCCTACACTTCATTTTGTCCCTGTGGCTTTTATCCTGTCCCCTGTTATTCTCTGGGCACCACTGAGAAGTCTGGCTTGCTCTCACTTACTCCCTTCCATCAGATACTCAAATGTTGATAAGATTCCCCTGTGCCTTCTCTTCTCCAGGCTGAACAGTCACTGTTTTCTTGGCTTCCCCTTGTATGGGAGATGCTTCAGTCTCTCAATCACCTTGTTTAGGCTTATTCTTAATGACCTCCCATAAGGTGGGTGGTGTGTGAGTGTGTGTGTTTTTTTGCTGTTGCAAGCAAAAGTGCTTTAAGAGCCTTGTTATGCATTGTGTGAAAGGATTATTGGAGTGCATGTGGCCAGTCTTCTGGATTTATTCAGCTATAGTGCTGTTATAGAAAGCAGAGAAAATTAAGTACCAATGTTGGTCATCTTCCATTTTTCATAAAGCTTGCAAATATTGAAAGTATTGGAGGGCTAATGTCATTTCTCCCTTTCTAAATGTTTGGGAAACTTTTCTAATTATGATAACTTAATATTTTAAAATTAGTCAAGGCTCAATATTAATCTGAAAAATATATTTGGACAAATGATGGTTTGTCAAGCTTATTCTCCGATTTCTGTGTATTTATTTCAACTACACGGTGACTTTCCTTTGGAATCAATACTTTAGCAATTACTGTTTATTTTCCTTTTTCAGTATTTTTCCAACCTCATAGCAAAGATGCATGTAATTCTTTGCAGTTTTACAGCATGTATTGTGATGGATAACAGCAGAACAGCTTTTTTTTTTCTGAAGCAAAGAAATATCTGAAAGATGCTGAGTAAAAAGACTGAATGTCACTTCCTTTTTAGTCATGTTTTTAGGTATGAAGTCTGTTAGCAGCAAGGAGGTGACAAGTAAGGCCCACATCATGCAGTCCAAGCCAAGTTCTAGAGAAGTCAGCCACAGCACAATTTTCAATCCTAAGTTTTGCAGTCTGCTCATGCTTTATCCCAAACAATGTCATCCAAATAGAAAATCAAGAAGTACAATGCTTGTGCTTTAATCGAAGGAGCTCTTGCCACACTGATACTAAAAGCATATCAAAGAAAGCTTACTTTATATTTACTTTAAAACATTTTCCCTATAACATATATGCCTCCTTTTAAAAATCATTCATGTTTTAAATTTTTAAATGTGAATGTAGAAGTTCATTTTAAACATCTAGGAGAGCATATATGATGGAATATTCCTGCCATAAAGAAAACAGTTTTGAGAAACTCCTGCTGTTGTGGGTCTGGAGCAGAATATACAGCTCTTGTTAGACCTGCTGTTAGTCATCGAGGATTTTAGCTTCTGGAATATATTGTTTGTGTGAAATGTGACCCTCTTTTGATTTTGCATTTTTTTCTTATTTTTGAGTCAGTACAGCAATTGCTGAATACTGTACCTTATCTAGATGTGGCATGTTTGAAATGATCTGGGGGGAGATTGAGTCATGTTCTCTGTACTTGGGAGGAAGGTGTCTGCAGGAGCTTCCCCCTTCTGGTGCCTGCTTGCCTAAATTCTACTCTCAGTGGGAATGGGTGATTTCTCTGCAGGTGTGTGAATCATAGAATCACAGAATGGTTAAGGTTGGAAGGGACCTCTAGAGGTCATCTAGTCCAACCCCCCTGCACACGCAGGGTCACCTAGAGCATGTGTTTAGAAGATCTCCAGAGAACAATCTCTCTGGACATACATGCCTAGCAAAAATTTTTGGTAGACTGGCCTGTCCAGTTTGAAGAGATACAGGCAGGCTACTGTCAGCCTTGGTAAACGGATTCTCAGAAGCAGATTTCTGGAACTCCTTTCAGTGATTACAGTGAGCGCATGCATTTGTGTGGGTTTTTTGTTTATTAAAAAAATAGCTTTTGTGTGAGCAGCTTTCTCAAACTCTGTGAATGCACAGTGTGTGGTTTCAAGAAGGATCTGTCAGAAGTCTCTAATTGCCGATCTTCTGTGCCATAACTCTTCTTGTCCCTTTGTCCCTTTCTTTCCTTGTTTTCTATGCTTCTCACCAGCAATGATGATTTCTCCTGGCACCTTAAAGTTTTGCTTTTCCGGCCCTTAAAATAAGATTGTGTATGTATATGGTATTTAATGGGAACCTTACAAATACTTTGTCTTGTGTATTGCCAAAGCAGCTTTGGTCACAAAGAAGCTCAAATAATTTTATTAGGAACAAAAGAGAATTTTGCTGGAAAAACTGTTTTCACTGCCAGAGGAGTGATGATTTTCTCGAGTATCCTTCAGAATAAGAGTTCTCCTCCTGGCATGTCAGTGATTGTAGTTGGTGGGGATTAGAACTAGCTGCAGTCCACACAGATAGCTTAAACAACTGGGTGACTGGTGGGAAATGTAAGCTGTTAATATTTTGTCCTGTGTGTTTTGCTCTCCTTTTTCTGATTCTAGATGTTATCAGGATCCCAAATATTTAAGAGCTAAGTATAATATTTTCTTTGTTCCTTTAAAGCATTCCTTGCCAAACTAGCTGTTTATCCTGCTCTTTGACCTACAATCACAGTATATCTACAGGATGTGGATTAATTGTACATCCTTAATTTTGTTTCTGAGTTTCAATTGTTTTATTTTTGCATTGTGTGAATGCTGCTTTCCTCATGGAGCACTGCGTTGCCCTTTTAAGGATGCATTCAAACAGTGTTAAATCCACAAGTGTGCTGTGTTGATTTGACTGGGACTTGTGGACCCTCAGGGATCCATCACAGTGGTGATCTGTTGAAAACAAATTTCTAGCAATCTCTTTGTTACGGCAGGTTGATTTATCTGCCTCTTCTTCCTTCTCAAAAGAGTCTATCTGAAGTCCTGTTATTGCACTTCTGACTTGCTTGGATTTCTGCTCTGAGATTTCTGTTCAGAAATGCAAGAATTTACAGTTTTCTCATTGGTCTTTCTGCTTATTTTGAAATCAGTAGACTTCCTTATTGAACACTTATATGAACACAGTATATAGTTGAAGCTGAGGCACTTCTCGTGTGTGTGAGAGTCAGTATTATATTTAGTGGCTCCAAAACTGGGTAAAATAGTAAATGCCCAGGACAGTAGAAATGCTCAGCCTAGCTTGTTTGGGGATGTAGCAGAATACAGTCTGCCTACAAGAAACAGATTTTCCTACAACAAAAATAAGTCTTTGGGAGTTGTGAAAAAATCAATTTAGTGCCTCTCTTCTGAGCTCTGTCAGGTTATTATCCTTCTGGAATTAGATGTATGCTTTAATGTGCACCTTGCCTCCCCAAATCGCAGCTGTCTGAAGTTTAATAGCTCTCAAGCAGTGTGCTATGTGCAAGTTGGCTTTGAGCAGTTTTGAGATTGTTTATAAAATTCAGCTATGCTTAAGCAGGTATAACTTCATAGCTGTCCTCCACAGCCCTCTTCCACTGCCCAGGTCAATCAGTCAGGGGACAGACGTGCTGCGTTGCCCTGATGGAGCAAAGCACCATCCTGGGCTCGAGGCCGAGTGCGCTGCAAAGGCTCCTGTGGGCTTGGAGCGCTCGGGTGCTGTGACCAGGCAGGCCCCAGACCTGCTCAGTGCAACAGCCTCATTTGCCAGAGGAGATCTAGGAGGAGCCCTTTGCTTTGAGGAAGGCTGCTCAGCGTTTTGACCGCTGCGTGGGAAAGTGTTAAACTGTGGCCCATTTGTTTACTCTGGTGCTGTGGGTTCAGTGATGCAAGAGGACCTGTAAAGCATGATGTGGGAGATGGTTTCATAGCAAACAGGCTTAATCATAAAGAACCAACGGTGTTAGTCATGTTTTTAAATATGGTACTACTAGAAAGATGGACACAAATGCTTCCTGTGTGACGTGGCCTGACTGGTGGTTAGAGCCTTGTTGCTTTTGAAAGTAACTGAGGTTAACTTGCCAAGTCTGCTGATATGTGGATGGAAAAACTTGCACTGCTGTGGGATGGAACAGTGTGTTGCCTGGCACTTCTGGCCATTAGTTCCTCCTGTGTTGTCACTAGAAATGTATCTGGCAGTTTTATTGCAGCAGACTCTAAAGCCACTTTACTTTCAGGTGCAGCAACTTACTATGGTCTTATGCTGGAAGAATTTAAAATGTTCTCTTAACATGTTTCCCTTCACTAGCAACTGAGTGTATTCTTTTGCATATCTGTTTGTCAGTCATTCTTTAACTTTCCAGGAAAGGAACAGCTGTTGCCCAGGTCAAGAATCAAATCCATCAGCTTTGTTTCCATTCCTTCCCATTCAGTTCCCTACAGCACTGGAAAAGTACTTACAATATTGTTTGTATGATTTAAAAGTAAAATAAGGGTATGATTTAAAAGTAAAAGAAGGGTATGATTTAAAAGTAAAATAAGGGTATGATTTAAAAGTAAAATAAAGGTTAAATCTGAAGTGTGCATGAGCTTTCAGAGCTTCGCAACCTTGTAGGCTGCAGAGGGCCATTTGTTTACTGCATAAAATAAAGTGGTTAACGGGGCTGCCCTTTCTTTCCCGTTAGGTTTGGTATTCACCCCGTGGTTGGTCGTATGCCTGGTCAGCTGAATGTACTCCTGGCAGAAGCTGGTGTCCCCTATGATATGGTTCTGGAAATGGATGAGATCAATGAGGACTTCCCAGGTTAGCATGTGGACTTTAAGTTTCTAGAAGACTGGGTTTGTTCTTCTCAATTTCTATTTCTTTAGGTCTTGCACTGTACAAGGACTTTCAAAACAGTGATCTCAAGCAGGCTGTGCAGTTTTGCTTTGTGCCCGTTGTGGTGCCACCGCAGAGGAGCGGATGGGTGATCTGGAGTGAACTGGAGAGGTCTGAGTGATCTCTCAAATGATAGCGGGGAGCAAGGAGAAATAAAAGGAACAGCCTGACTCAAAGGCAGAAAACTGAGAAGCATAGAGAGACAGTAGAGACAGTTGAAGTGAAAGGGAAGTATTGAATGCAGGAGTATTGAAGGGAGATGAATGAAAAACAACTGGGCAGTATGTTTCCTCCAGAGTCAAGAGAACAGCTATTGGTAGCTGTGAAATAAATGAGAAATGCTGTGTCTATTTTGTCTGTGTTACTGCTCCATACAAGAAAATTACTGTTGTTTTTTATGTCAGATGCTGTCCATTTTGTGAATGTTTTGACAGTGTAACTTTAAAGTAGAAGACTTTATTTCCTTTTTTCTATTCTTTAAAAATCAGAAAACTGCTGTCAAAAGCTTTGTTAAAGATATTTAAAGGGAAGACTCAGGCCCAAAGAATTGGATAGTGCTGGTACTATGTGTATATGAAATTGTATTTAAATTTTAAAGGGTTTAACTTTGTGTGTTTTAATAAGCCATTAGAATGAGTTCTGGATGCTCGGAGCTGGCTGGAGCTTCCACTTGTAGTATCCTTGGCTTCTCTCATGAGTAATTTGCCAATTAGGTTATAAGATATTTGAAAAAAGTCTCAATAAAAGTTTGTAGAATGCTTATTACAAGGAGTTCCTTGCTAGGTCCCGGTTTAACTCAGATGGATGTACCTCAGCCTCAGAGTTGAAGATGGCGATAGGAACTGACTTGGTGCTTGTAATTGGTGCGAACGATACAGTTAATTCAGCAGCTCAGGAAGATCCAAACTCCATCATAGCTGGAATGCCAGTTCTTGAAGTGTGGAAGTCCAAACAGGTGAGCTTAACAGAGGTGCATTAGCATCTTTCTATAAGTAGCATGCTTTTAAAAATGTAATTTATAGGTAAAGTTTCACTTAAGATGTCCTTTCTTTTTCTGTTACCATGAAAAGACTTTTTCTGTTATCATGAAAAGATCTTCTGCAAGGTGACCAATAAAATGGGCTGTATTGTGCAAGTGTGCTGCAGTTTACTTCATTATTTTTTAATCATCAGTCTGCTTTAATGAGACTAATGGTGACTGAAGTCAGTAAGGCCAGTTAATCTCTTGTGAGAAGAAATACATTAGAGCAAATGATATTCTGCTTACATCTACAACTCTTAAAACATTTCAGTACAAAGATGTAATTTATAGGATTTTTTTCTGGCAACTTTATCACTGAGATAAAAATACAAAAATAAATATCATGCTTGGATCTAATACATGAAAAGCTGAGTTGAACAGCCGGTTTTTTAGAGTGTGGGATTTTTTGTAAGTTCAGCTTCGTTATCCTGAACCATTCAAGTACACAGCATCAAGGGCACATCAGTTTTATTTATTCTATCAATTTATTGCAATTTGAGAAATAAATGTGTTTAAAATCAGTACAGCTTCCCAATTTCTTTTCTGAAAGTACAATTGTAAACTCATTTGACACTTCAGCTAAAACTGGCTGAAACTTATTTTAGTGTTTCTTAAATCCTATGTATGAATTAATGGCAGTAATATGGGATAGAACTGGAGATTGCTGCTCCAAGCATTGATATGAACACTCATGTCAAGTGTGTTACTGTCTTAGGACTGAGTAACATAAAAGCCTATGAAAAGATGTGCTCTCCACAGTCTGTTCAGCTGATGTGTTAAATTGCACAGAAGTGTATTTGTGAAGCTGGCCTGGATTTCAATTGTTCTCTTTTTTCCTAGTGTATTAAAACTTGAAATATATTTTCTTACCTATGAACTCCCTATCTTGATCATGGTTCTGTTTCTCTCCCTTTGTTTGTTGAGGGTGGTTTCATGCCTACCACATCTGAGCTGGGATAACTTTTGTCTCATGCTGTGTCAAATGCCAACTCTTTACACGCAGATCATTGTAATGAAGAGGTCTCTGGGAGTTGGTTATGCAGCTGTGGACAATCCAGTCTTCTACAAACCCAATACTGCCATGTTGCTGGGAAATGCAAAGAAGACTTGTGACACCTTGCAGGCCAAAGTCAGGGATTCGTATCAAAGCTAAATACCAATTTACACTCAACTTGCTCATGATTGTGGCTATGCTGTTGTCACAGAGGTCATGGAAATCAAGAATTACAAAAATCTTAATGTCATACTGCAGTTTGCATTCGGAGACCGCATTGACTCGTAGGAGATGTAGTTCAGTTAGGGGCATATCCTTTTATGAAACCTTGGGGACACTATCTCTGCAAACTACATCTTTCCATGATGCAATGTACTGAAGTATAAAAATGTCCTTTTTAAGTTTAAGAATGAGCTGTTGGAAGCAGGAAGCAAATACTCATTGTCTTTTTTAAGTGGCTGTTGGTTTTCTCCCTCTAACTCTTTATGGTTCTGTCACGAATAGTCACTAAAAATTACTGTGCTAAAATGGCATTCCAGCTTATCAAATCTGTTCCCTGGTCCATATGAACAAAAATAACTTTCAACAAAATGCAGAAGTTGTAAGCATGCTTATGTGATTTGAGAGCCTCAACAAAATATTAAATCTGTATATAAAAACTCAGACTTGCTTTTATGGGTTCCAGGTATGCCGTGAATCAAGTATTTTTGAAGGAAGTTACTTTTCTTTGAAACAGTTCTACTTTTTTCATAGCGTCTGCTTACATTTTGTAAAACGAAACAGAGAATTTCAGGGACCTACCAAGTGATCTTTAATCCTGTCAAAGAAATATACACCTGCACTGCTTAACTATTTTCAGCAGCTGCTATATTTCCTCTTTTTTTTCCCAATTGTTGCCTTTTTAAGTGTTCCGAGAAGAATACGGTCCAGTTCTGCACAGGCAAACATCTATTTCAGTTTTGTTCACTTTGACTTTTAACTATATTTGCTACTTTAGATCTTGGTGATGCTTTCCTAATCAACAATATTATGATGCTGGAAAAGGCACTTTTTAACATATTTAAGGTGCTGGAGTTCATTAGAATTTTTTGAAATAAATAAACTATTGTTTGGACAGCACAGAAATACACCAAGCTGAAAACTCAGTATTCTGATTATTTGACTTCTCTCTAATCTAATTAAAAGTGCTGTTTAAATTCCCATAGTGAGTGCAGCAAAGAAGGAAATCAAATTATGACGTGGACTGCTGTTTTGTTTTTACTGTGTTAAGTGTACTTGAGTGGAGCTCAAATATTTGCCTGATAAAATGAATTTATCATGTTTGCATAATGATGTAGCAACTGTCCATGCTGACAAAGGCTAAATACAAATAGCTGTTTGTATTGGCAGAATATGTTTTAACTTGTTGTTAAAATTGGCAGAATATGTTTTAAATTTTTGAGATTACCCCAGGACAACCTAGTCCCTCTGATGGTCAAACACAGGGCTGGGCTAAAGGGAGCCCTGACAGAAGTAAAGTCGGGTCCGTGTAAGGTGATGCTGAGAGACTGGAACACAGGAAACTGGACAGGACCCTTGGACTTGGTAACCTGGGGAAAAGGGTATGCTTTTATCGTTACAGATGCTGGAACCAGATGGGTGCCAGCAAAATGGGTGAGACCTTGGCTGGAAGCAAACTCGCATACATCAGATGAAGCAGGCAAGCAGCTGGTACCCTAGCTGTGGAAAGTGTGAGCCTGCAGAAGAACAACATGGGAGGAAGAGGTGTTACTGTTATTATTAGCTGTATATTGTGGCTTTTAGGAGGTAATGTTACTTTTAATGCTATTATAGAAGCTGATGCTACTTTTAACACTAATGGATATGTTATGCTTCTTAGGCATATTGTTAATTATA